CCTTCTTTGTGTGTGTTAGTTGCTCAGTTGTGTCTGTCTTTGCAACTCCATGGACTGGAGCCTACCAGGCTCCTCTATCCATGGAATTCTCCAGGCAAGAATACTGGAGTGGGTTGCCATTTCCTTCTCCATTGCCTTCTTAATCTTTTCTTAAATCCCTGGTCTCAAAAATTTGCAGTCCGATTAAGCACCACCATGGATACATACTTAGCTATAAAGTATGAGGTTGACAAAGCTATGCGTGCATGCTCAGTTGCTCAGTTGTGTCCAATTCTTTGCAACCCCATGGACTGTAGTCCATGGTATTTCCCAGGCAAGAATACTGGAGTGGGTTGCCATTTCATCCTCCGGGGGATCTTCCTGACCCAGGGATTGAACCTACGTCTCCGTGCATTGGCAGGTGGATTCTTTACCACTGAGCCACTCGGGAAGCCCAGACAAAGTTATACAAGGCTAGAAAAGGGAGGGGTTTGTGCTGTTGGAGGTAAAAGGAGAAAACTTAGAAGAGGATGGATTTCACTGAGGTTTGAAAGGTTGGGAAGACTTTGGGGAGAGCAAAAAAAGAGAGGTGGTGGTGGGTGGTCTGGATTGCTGAATGATGAACAAAGGCATTCAGGGGCAGGAAAGCTTTGTGTTTGTATGGACATGTGGTGTAGGGATGAGAGGAAGGAAGGAGGTAGGCGTGGAGCAGGAATGGGTTGGAACTTGAGAACCTACATCTGTATTTCAGTGGAAGAGGGAGTGGACAAAGGAGGTTCCAGACTGTTCAGAGGCAGTATAGCTTAGTTGTTTTGAATATGGGCTCTGGAGCCAGATTTTCCAAATTGGAATCCTGGTTCTACCACATATAATTTGCATGATGTGGACAAGTCATCTAAATTCTCTATGTCTCAGTTTCTTCATCTATAAATCAGAAATAGTAATGGAAACTTCATTTGAATTATTGTGCTTGGCTTATAGTCTGGTGGTGGTTTAGTCGCTAAGTTGTGTCCAACTCTTGCGACCCCATGGACTGTAGCCTGCCAGGCTCCTCTGTCCATGGGATTCTTTAGGTAAGAATACTGGAGTGGGTGGCCATTTCCTTCTCGAGGGGATCTTCCTGACCCAGGAATTGAACCTGGGTCTCCTGCATTGCAGGCAGATGATTTACTGACTGAGCTATGAGGGAAGCCTATAATATATATAAGCTCTATATAAATGTTAATAATTATTGCCATTGCCATTGAGACAGTAGTTGGAAAGTCAGAGAAGAGTCAGATTACAGAATGTTTTGAGATCATGTCAATGGCTACTGGAGGCATCATAGCTTCTTTTTAGTTAAGTGAATATGATGCTATTTTTGGACGTTAACCAATCTTGGTTTTTAACATCAGATATACTCAGCATTAATTAAAATTGTATTCACATTTTATTTAATTTTTATGCTACATCTATATTTTAAAGGATGATAAAGCACACCAACCAAGACTCTTAAGATCTGGGCCAAAGTCTTTCATTGTTTGATATTATTTAATGATCTGGAAACAAGATGGGACTAATACCCAAAAAGTCAAGGCAACTAATATACAACAAAGTTATAGATGAAAGAGAAAATTTGAGTGGTAATTAATGATAGGAAGGTGAGATTACAGACAGAGGCAAAAGCAATCATGTATAATAAAAATATATTTTAACATTTAAAGATAGAAATTGGTAGAATTTAAGTGTGGAAAACAATGAGTCACCAGCCCAGGTTGGATGCATGAGACAAGTGCTCAGGGCTGGTGCACTGGGAAGACCCAGAGGGATAGGATGAGGAGGGAGGNCAGGGCTGGTGCACTGGGAAGACCCAGAGGGATAGGATGAGGAGGGAGGCGGGAGAGGGGATGGGGATGGGGAACTCATGTGGATCCATGGCTGATTCATGTCAATGTATGGCAAAAACCACTACAATATTGTAAAGTAATTAGCTTTCAACTAATAAAAATAAATGAAAAAAAAAAGAAAATGAGTCAAATAAAAGTAAATACTGAAATCAAACTTATTTAAATAAACTGGATAAGCACCAAGCAGTGACATTAATAAAAAAAATAAAAGGAAACATACATACAGGGAAATATACTCAAATTTAGTGTAAAAATTGCCTGAGCCTGACATCCCTTCCACTATAATTGGGAATAAAAGAGTAAAAATATTACCTTTCCCCTATCTTTAAAAGGCATCTGCTTTAGAGTCATACTTACTTTTTGCTCCAGACAGGTTAAGAGTTAATATCTTGAGTTTCAAGTTGAGTAACAGGTATCCAACTCCCAAGGTTGTGCACCAAGTCCCTATAACCCACCCCATCCCACCTCTATCCCCACCATGTTTTGGATGACATCCTAGACTCAGCAAAGGTGAAGATGGACTGTCCTCTGGGAGAAAGGAGGGCGGAGGCCATTCCTTCTGATGGTCAGGTCATGTTTCAGAGGTGTAGATTCTTCTAAAAATTGTATCCTCACCCTCAGACATGCTCTTATCCCAGTCTAGGCCATCTCTATAAACAGCATTTCTACTCATCCGTGGACTCCGGTCAGAAACATGGCATTCATCGTGATCTCTTCCTTTCTCTTATCTTCACTCCAATTCATTACTAGATCCTGTCCATTCTGCTACCAAAGTACATCTCAGATCTGTCCACTCTGCACCACCACCAATGCCATTCACAGAACTGGTCAAACTAACATTTATCCAAGTTAGTAAAAGGAGCCCTTTCCTCTGGGCAGATGCTGGGATTCAAGTCCAGCCCCATTTTGCTCTGTGCAGGGCATGGTCTCCCAAGCTTTGCATGATAGTCCAGGACCCCAGCCTAAACCATGTGGCACTGTTGTAATCATCTCACTGTTTTGTCCACATACAATCTCATCCCCTTCCAATTCATTCTACAGATAGAGGTACTACTTTTATATTGCCAGTTTGATAACTTAACTCAATAGATTTCCATTGCTAGTGGGATGAAATCCTAAACCCTTAACATGAAGTCCATAACCCTTAACATGCCTGTATGACCTAGTTCTCTCTTTATCTTTACTAGCACCATTTCTCCTTGATAACTTTCAGCCCTGCTGCCTTATTTTGGTTCCTGAACCTTGCAAGCTTCTCCCCTACCCCAGGAGACTGCCAGGATTCCCAACTTAGTTTGACTAATTTCTCCTCTTCCTTCGGGCCTCAGTTAAATGTTACTTCTTCAGGGAATCATCTCTGAACCCCAAATCTAAAGTAGATCTCCTCACAGCACCTGAGTCATACATTTATAATTATATATTCACTAGTGATTTACTTGTTTAGTATCTTTTCCCCTACTATATACTGCAAGCTCCTAAGTCACATGTGATCTTGACTTAACCTAGTGTCTTTCATTCATTCTGTTTCAACTTTCTACCAAATGCATTTTCTGTGTCAGTGACTACACTAGATGCTAGGCTTATAGAAATGGATATATGACGTTTTTGCTCTGCATTATTCATTAAAGAGTGTCAAGTGCATTGATTAGGATAAGGCTAGCTGCTAAATATACCTTTTATTTTACCCATGTAAAGTCCAAAACAAATATTGGATGACTTTCCATCAAGTGGTAATTCCAGGGACCTTGGCTCCTTGTAACTTACGGCTCTGCTGTCTTCAGCATGTGGCCACTGAGGGGAAACAGCATGGAAGACTGCCTGTGGAAGATTTTTTTTAAATGAGCTAAATCTGGATGCTAAGTCATTTCAGTCCTGTCTGACTCTTTGCAACCCTAGGGACCACAGCTGGTCAGGCTCCTGTCCATGGGATTCTCCAGGCAAGAATACTGGAGTGGGTTACCATTTCCTCCTCCAGGGGATCTTCCAGACCCAGGGATCAAACCCATATCTCTTATCATCTCCTGAATTGTCAGGCAGGTTCTTTACCACTAGTGCCACCTGGGAAACCTAAATCTGGATGGCTACACGTAACTGCAAGGGAGGCAAGAAAACACATTCTATCTCTGTAAAGAAGAGTAAATAGATTCAGTGACCAGGTAGCACCTTCAACAATACCTGGTACAACACTGGCGTGACAAAGAAACAAAAATTAGAAATGGAGCTTGTTGTCAAATCTTATTACCTACGAGAGTGAAGATGGAAATCAATATTATGTCTGATCTAGTATACCATAATCTCTAACTTCTAGGAATCTATATAGAAACAGCTATTGGAGTGAAATTAATCGATTTATGGATGTGTCTCTTAGGATAAGAAAGTTTAAAAAAACTAATATATTAATACTAGTCCACTTTAATTCTGGATCACCTTCAAGGTTTCCATTTTTATTTCCCATGGTTTTTAGCCTGTCCCAAATTACAGCCTCTCCTTTTGAGTTTCGTGGGCTGCATTAGGACAAGTCCATAGTTAAGGCCCCTGGAGGAGGGCATGGCAACCCACTCCAGTATTCTTGCCTGGAGAATCCCAAGGACAGAGGAGCCTGGCGGACTGTGTACAGTCCATAGGGTCCCACAGAGTCGGACACGACTGAAGTGACTAAGCAGCAGCGGCACAGTCAAGGGAATCGAATGGATGAGAACAGTGAGAGACACACTCTAATAACTAGAGATCTAGTATTGACAGAGCCACACAGTAGCTTTGAACTTGGAAAGATGTGCACCTAGATCACCATGTAAGTGAATTCTTCCCATTTAATGGTTTTCCTTGTTATTTTCTGCTCTGAATGAAAACACTGTGGAAATCTGAATCATTCTTTGGTATCAAAGTAGGCATATGGTCACCTGTGTGTCTGAGGTAATGTCTGTACTTAATGCTTTTCCATTCTGAAACTGGTTTTCATGTCCTCGACAGAACCTTAGTATTAAAGGTACAGGAAACACAAAGCTCTAAAGGACCTCATCAATCAGAAGCATTCATCTGTTCCTTAACTTTAGTCTCAATTCAGGAGAAATCTCAAACCTAGAGTTTCCCGATTTACCCTACAGATGAAAAAGTGAAACATTCGTGCATCTTCGTCAGATCGGTTGTACTCTTCCCAAGAGAATCCTGAGGTAGTCGGGGGACACGGTCTTGGATCTAGCAGTTTCCTGCAGCTGGTAATTAAATTTAAGAGTCCAGCGCGGCAGGTGGAAACAGTGCCGCCGAGCACCGGCCACGCGGCAGGTGGACCGAGTGCGGTAGAGCTTGGGCCCGGAGGGTGTTTCCGTGAGTCCCGGGGCGGAAGGGGATACCCGCGCGCGCTCGCGCCCACCCACGGGGTCTCTGGAAAGTCGGCGAAGCGCCTGCAGCGGAGCCCGGAGCCGCGTCCGCTCGGCGGCTTCGACGGACGCCCCGCAGGACGCCCGCCACGCCCCGCGCCGCCCTGCAGGCGAACGCGGGAGGCGGCGAGGCCCCGCCAGGCCGCCGTAGCGCTGCGGCTCGAGCCGCTCCTCCCGCGCCGCCCTCCGCCCCCTGCCTCCCGGCGCCGCGGCAGCTCTGGGCAGCCAACGCCGCCGCCGCCGCCGCCGCTTCCTCCTCTGCAGCCGTTCGGCCGCTGCGTGACGCGTCGTTTCCTCCCAACATGGCGGCCGGGGCAGGTCGGCGGTGATGGAGGCCAGTCCGCGGCCGCGGCGGGTGCTCGTCCCCACAGGAGCCAGGGCAGCCCTGCCCTTGCCGGGCCTCTGATCCGCCGCCTCGTTCCTCTGTCCCCCCGCCTGACGGCCGCCGGGCTGGGCTCCCTCGCCGTTTCCGGGGCGGAGGGGCGAGTGAGGGGGAAGGTGGTGGTGGTGGTGGTGGCCGGGAAGCGACCCCGGGGCCGGGAGAAGCGGAGGTCCCACGGGCGCGGCCCTTTGGGGGACGGCTACGACCGGCGCACCCCTCGCCCGCCCCGCAGCCGGCCCGGCTCCCCCGCCCCTTCCTGATCCCGCCGCTGCCCTCCACGCCTCCTCCTCTCCCCCACCGCCACCCCCTCTCCTTTCTCTCGGCTCTTCCTCTCCCTCGTCGTCGTCGTCCTCCCTTCCAGCCGCTGGGATCCGCGGGTCGGACGAGCCGCCGCCTCCTTCTCTGCGTCCATGTATGAGGGGAAGAAGACGAAGAACATGTTCCTGACCCGGGCCCTGGAGAAGATTTTGGCCGACAAGGAAGTGAAGAAGGCGCATCACTCCCAGCTGCGCAAAGCGTNAGGGAGGGATGCTTTGAACCTGGGGAAATGAACAAGACAATGACACCCACCAGCCACATGTCTGGACCGTGACAGCTGCTCGCAAGCTTGAATTGTGATTTACAGTTCAGACGAGAGAGATCTAGTGTCTGAAGTCCAAAGCAGGGTAAATGCAAACAATACCTACAAGCGAGGACTGGCAGATGAGGAATTGTTAAGGGGGACCACTGATGGATCTTTTGCATTCATCAGGAATGAAATCCTTTAAGGAAGGACCAGGACATTAAACGCAAAGATGAATTCCTAATGCTTGGCTTTAGTTTAAAGCGCTGGAAACAGACTAGATTAAGTTGATGAGAAATGGAAGCATGTTAAGTGGGCTTGGAAAAAAGCATTCATAAAAGGGGCAAAAATCCAGAATAACTCGGGTGTATGCTAAAGGGTCAAGATAGCTCAAAAGCAGCTTTGCCTTTTAATTATTAAAATAAAAAGACTTTTAAACTTACTGTAATAAGCGGTTTTTTATCTTCTTTTTGAATCCTTTAAAGTGATGTGAGAAATATTATTGAAGAAATTTTCATTAAAATTTTTTTGAATTTTATGTATAATGAATTAAAATTTTTTTTAACTCTTCATGGATCAGAAGTTCACCTTTTGTTACTCTTGTAGCTAGCAAAAGACTATTCCAGGTTTATGAGAGGATGTTGTACAGTGGTAAAAATTGAATTTGTAGCTGGGTCTTGAAAGAAATAACTTGAGGCAGGATGAGGGAAGGAGTGATTTGGGGAATTTTTTTAAAAAATTGTTATGTGTAGGTTTTTGAATAACTTGTAGGTTAAAGAAGTTACGAGTTCAAACTGAAGTTTTAGTTTTTGAGGTCTGATTTTCTGTGTTAAAATATACCTTTCATATACTAAATTATTAGAGTATTAGACTAAGGAAATGGAGTGTTATGTGTGTGTATACATACATACATACATACATACATACATATATATATATATATATATATATATATATCCCCCCAAAATGCTAATATAAGTATCTGTTCTAAACGGAATTCTTCCTGGAAGGAGAATGAGATCCTGGCTTTGAATTGCAGTTTTGTTACATTGTAGCATAGTCAGGTCTCTGGGCCTCAGTTTCCTTGTCTGTACAGTTAAGGATATTGAGCATAATGGTTGTAAGGTTAGGTCCCCTCTAATGTGCCACAAATGTGACCACAACTGTTTTGTTAACTTGTACATTGAGAGTATTCCTGTCGCTCTTGATTGGCATCTTTAGAGGCTGTAATGGCTTGGTCCTTGATGTTTGGAGAGGGAGGGACCACTTGCTCATGTCTGCCACGGCTCTGCAAAGATTATGTCAGATTTTACGAGTTTTTAGTTGTTTGTCTCTTCCACATAGTTAACAGAAGCTTATGAGGAATGTCCCAGAGTACTTTGTTTACTTGAGACATATAGGGCTTTTTCCTTTTATTTCATAATTACATTTAGTCTCCTACAAAATCTCATTGAGCAGTCTCATGGTAATTAATCTTTGATGACCTTTGTTTCTTCCCTTTTAGTCATCCATGTACATTACCGCCCAAACATAATTTAATAGGGATGATACTTTTTATCTTCACAGAAAGTATGATGTCCTGTAGTAGATAGTATCCCCAAATATATCCTGGAAAGACCTCCCTCTTCCACTTCACTGTTGCGACCTGGGTCAGGCTCCCTTTGGTTTCTTGATAATCTGTATGGCTAACAAGCTGGATGGGAGAATAAACTGGAGTGGCCTGGTTTGGTCATTTCTTATCTCTAGGTTGTGAGTGGGTAGGAGTTGGCTGGTAGTGGTAGAGAGGTGGGTGTTGCTCTAACTCTTCTAAATAGACTTCGTATATAACCCACCTCAATACACCTGCCTGCATTTATTCTGTGGTCCACCTCTTCCCCCCGCCCCCNCCCCCCCCCCCCCCACGTTGTTACCATCAGTGTGAAGCTGGCAGGCCCAGGAACAGCTCCAGGTTGCCCTCTCTTGGTACTTGCCCCATACCAGCTTCCTGCAGCAGCCACCGAACTCTGCAGAGTCAGGGCCTCCAGGCTGCCCTAGCTTAGCTTGATCCATTCCTGCTCTCTAGAATCCTGAATTAAAAATAGTCTGGCCATCTGCTGGCAGATGAGACAACAGCTGAACTATTTTTAGTTTTAAAGAATTTAGGATTGTTGAGGGATTGGGCTTGAAGGTAGCATTGTTTGTCTTATAGGGAGGAGAGGGTGCAGTTGGGCCCTATTCCAGCCAGACCTCCAAGTTTCAAGAGTTTCTTTGATGTTAGGGTTATGACTAGTTCAGCTTTTGCCTCTGACGTCGTATATCTGTGAAGATATCCTGCACATGTTAGGATGAGTGAGTTCAAGGTTGGAAGCTGGCACTGATAAGAGAATAGACGTGAACGAGCTGACCAGAAGAAGGTTTTAGAGGCGAGGGAGGCCTGCAGAGAGCTGCAGTAAGTTTGGGTTCCTTGCAGAGATACTGGGAAGTGATGGAGAAAAAGAGGGATTGCTAGGAAAGTACTTTTTGCATTATACAGGGTGTGAATTTGTGTTCATCATGTTCTAAAGTGATCTACTGATTTTTTTTTTTTAATGAGTTTGTTATCTAAGCTCATAGTCTTTGCCAGAAATGTAGATATCAATATCATATTTAGGCTAGAAACTTACAAAACTTGCTTCATTCTGCACCTCCTGTCTCGCCCTTGTTTTAGTTAATGGCGTTCTAAAAAAGAAGTATGAGTCGGCGGGGGCGGGATTATTTGAGTGCATTTGACCTCAGTTTTATGCTACTTCTGGTAATTTTATTAATTTTTGTCACTCTTGACTATTTATCAGAAAATGACTTTGTCTCAAATAATACCCTGCAGACAGTGAGTTATCTTAATTATAATTTAAATCCATTAGCAAGTCTCTTTTTAAACCTTCCTTGATATCTAAAATAAAAAATGTTTTCACTAAGTCAGGCTGCCAGAATTTTTGAGGTAGCTAGGAAAGAAGGGCGTGATGAATGAAGTGACTGAAAGAATATATTAGGTTTGAGTGGAAAAAAATAAGTTTGGGTTACAGTGTATATACTCTTGCCATTGTGGAAATTTATACTGCACATTAACATAGTTAAGATTCTGAAGAGTCCTCTGTGAAAAAAAACCTCAGTTTTGCTTAATGAAGTTTTCCCTAAATTTGACCCTTTTCAGTATCTGTTAACACCCCTTGGAAATATTGTTCCTTGAAATTTACTTTGGGACCCTGTTCAAGGGAAAAACAGACAAATGGAGATACAATGGCCCTAGCTACTGAGGGGAACCATTCTTGTGTTTTTGGAAAGCAGGAGTTTTGTTGATAGTATGTGAAGAAGGTCAGAAATGAGGTGGAGTTGGACAGAGTCGTATCAGGATCAGAGGGCCGTTTGCTTTCTAGCTCTTTCTTTCCTATCCTGTCTAATGGCAAGCAACTGCTCGTCTCCAGTGTTAGTGTTTAACTTGTAGAGAAACTTCTGTCGGTAATTATTTTTTCAAACCAGAATAAAAATGTATTGTGAATGGGAAATAATTTGGGGGAATAGTTGTCATAATATTCGTCACAAATTGGATGAAGGAACATATGAAAAGGGAAAATGCATGAACAAATTATTGTTGCCATTCCAAGTTAAGTATATTTTTCATTCAGATACTTGGTTGAACTAATATGGGCCAGGTAGTGTTTCAGCGCTGGGCATAGAGCAGTGAGCCAAATATGCTTTCATGGAATGTATTTTCTAGTTGAGGCTGAGAGTAAAAAACTAATGTTTTGTATTGTCAAATTGCTAATTGTTACTATCTGAGGAAATAGTTCAGAAAGGTAAAGGGAGAGTGACCAGGAGGGCAAGTATAGGCGGAGCTGTCAGGAAAGGCGTTTTCAGGAGGTGACATTTCAGCAGAGAAGGGACAGAGATCCAGTTTTGCAAATACCTGGGTGACACAGGCAGAGGGAGCAGCAGCGCGGGTGTGGGACTTGCTACTTTCCTGGATGAAAGGGAGCTTGTGTGGCTAGAGAGTGAGGAGGGAGGAGGAAGAGAGAGCAACTTTGGATTTTGTTACATCTGTGCTCTAAGTCCCTGGAGAGTTTTACAGGGGATGACAAAGCAGGTTTACAGGTTAAAAGGCTCACTTTGGCCAGAGGTGATAGTGATTTAGGCTGATGGTGGTGGACGGAATGAGAATTGGTTGCATTTGAAATTCTCCGCCCCCATCCCCCACCCGGTGGGTTTCAGGGTGCCATGTTCAGAGCCTCAGTTCTTTTGTTGTTGTTGTTTTAATATTTACTGATTTGACTGGTTCAGGTTTTAGTTGCAGCACATGGGATCTTCCTGGACCAGAGATCAAACCTGTCTGCGTTGGTAGGCGGATTCTTATCCACTGTCACCAGGGAAGTCCTGGAATATACTTTAGAGTTGACAGGATTTGCTGATGGGTTGGTTGCATGACAAACAGAGCCAGAGCTTCCAGGCTGTTGGAGAAGGCGTTCACTGTGATGGGGAACACCAGGGGCGAAAACATATTAGTAAAACATTTTATTCAACTCTTTATGTGTATTTTAGAATTTTTTAGTGATAAAATTTCCTGCTGATGTAATAGGATATTTTCTACTGAGAAAAGGGTACACTTAAAATGACAGGACATAGTCTAGTGAGAAGGCACAAAACAATTTCAGATTTGAGTTGTCAGTTTTTTCTCTTGAGGTTTTT